GTGTCATGCGGTAAACTTCTCTCCTATTGGTTGATCGACATCAGCGTGAGGAGATCAACTTTATTAAGAAACGTTAATTTGTCACATTTATAAATTAATTAATGCTTATATTTATTTTTAATAGTATTTTTGGTGCATTTAATGGCACAGTTATGTGTGATTTGTGCAGTTTTGGTCCTCCGTATACGTGGACTTTTTGTTTCTGTATCCAAAACAAAAAAGAAACTTTATTCCAGCAAACTTCTGAACTGAAAACAGATTTTTATTGTCAACATCATCCTACACTGACATAATGAACCAGCTGAGGGCGCCACAGCACAACCAGCTGAAACCAGCAGACAGCATAAAGTTGTTTTAATCTTGGTTCAACCATTGAGAGAACTTTAGAACTGTATAATAAATATAAAGTTTGTTGTTATTGTCAAGAAATCAATAAGTTTAACAAACAGGAAGTAAAACATTTAAAAGAAACCAATTTCATTTCTCATTGTGATTCAATTACATTTAATCAGGAGTTTGAATAATTTATATAATTATTACACAATTCAATTATTTAAATTTCACTCTATTTGTATATTTATTTATTTCACAACATTTGTTACCAGAAGCAGAAAAATCTGCACATACATCGTATTTCTGCTGCCGTTTCTGAGCTTCCAACATGGCCGCCAACCGGCGTTAATGTCCCAGTGCTCCCTCCCCCGTTATTTCCTCCCAGGTTCTGTCTCCGTCGTTGTTGCTCGGTCCGGTCCCCTCAGGCGAGGTGGTGCTGGGTGGTCATGAGGACCAGGGGGACCTCTTTGTCTCCGGTTCCCAGCAGAGGAAACATCCTCTCGGTGAACTCGGAGGATCTGGTGAAGCTGTAGATCTCCGAGCCCGACTTCACGTTGTAGAAGGACACCTGACCCTCGTCCATGTCCAGGAACACGCCCACCTGACGCAGCTTCTGAGGAGTCTTCACCTGCACGGCCCACAGAAACACGTTTATTCAGGTTGTACGGAAGCTCGTTAATGCCAGGAAAAGATACAACAACGTTGTGAATAATAAAAATAAAGATATTAATTGATTGAGTCAAAACTTTTACTTTGTCAAAATGATCAGAAACCAAAACTGACTTTATATCTTGATACTGGAAATAATTTAGTTTTTAATTCCTGTTTTTTTTTTTTTTTAATTTGTAACTTTTAATCTTTTTTTTTTCTTATGTTGTCAGCAGTGGGCTTCCATACCAAATGTACACTGTGATATAAAGAGACAGAAGCCTTTTAACTGTATGTTTTATTTAATATAAAGAGTTTGGACCTTGGTGAGAGGTGGCACAGTGAGCGCCCGCAGATGGCTGCCGCTCCACCAGATGGCGAAGTATCCGTTAGACGGACTCATGTCGAACAGACCTTTCCTCTGAGCCGACTCACTGACCACGCCCAGCTTCCAGTCCTTGTTCTCCCCGACGGACACCTGCAGGTGAACACAGCAGTTTAATATGTGTGACACTGGATCCTGGATCAGGACTGTGTATGTTCTGGTTCTGACCTCCCAGTAGTGGCGCCCGGCACTGAAGCCCTCTTTAGCGCTGACGCAGGACCAGACGTCGAAGCGTTGCTGACTGTTTCTGTAGAACTGCAGCTTCTCTCCTCGCTTCACTTGCTTCCTGTCCTCAGACAGGATCAGGAAGGGATACGCCGTCACCGGGTTCAACGTCACGTCCTCTGGACGCCACAACGACAACGACACATTAACAACACGGTCGTCACACCCGAAAAACTTCACAAATCTTTACCACAGTGACACTGTAATCGTCGGCACGCTGGCCTTTTATCTCACTGTCAGACTCAAACCACACCTGATCTTTGTAATAAATAAAGCTGGACTAAATAATAATAATAATAATAATAATAATAAGTATTATTATAACATACACAGTATATATATATATATATATATATATACTGTGCTTGTTAGCTTAATAATGCTAGCATGTTAGCATTCTATGTTAAATAAAAAGCTTTTTTTTAGCTAAATTTAAACATTAGAATGAAACAAAAGTTCTAATCTTTAATAATAAAAGTAGATTTAAATAAATAAATAAAAACAGTTCTCACCCATGTAGACTCGGGCCTTCTTGTGTCCTGTGACAGAACAAACACGTTTATTTAACAGCTGCTTTTCATTAACATTAATAATAATCATTATTACTGATTAATTATTGATTAATACCTGAGACCGATTTGATCTTCTTTAGATCTGCAGGGAGACAGGAAACCACGGTCATTCTTTCACAATAAAAATCAGAGTGATGAGACAGGTGCAGATATTGGAGTCACTGACCTCTCAGAGACCACTGACTCTTCCTCAGACTGGCGGTGCTTTCTCTCAGACTGAGCATGCTCTCTGCCATCATCAGATCCCCAGAAGAGACTGAAACACACCGCAGAGGTCAGAGGTCACCCAACGTTTCTGATACTGTGCGTGTGCGTGTGTGCGTTTGGTGTTGTGCAGATTCACATTTAGAGTTTTTTCGGTTTAGTTTCTTCCACACTGAACTGAGCGGCTGCGACTCACACGAGCCTCTGGAGCCTCGGGAGCGAACCTCCCCCATCCTGATGGCTTCCACCTTGTCCTTCACCTCGGTCAGAGCGCTCTTCACCTCCCCCAGCTGGAAGTGGAGCGAGAACTCCTCGTCCTCGTCCACCTCGTCCTGCTGGTCCTCAGCCAGAGGAGCTGTGGCCTCCTCGTAACTCTGAGGGGGAGAGAGGGGTGAGGACGAGGGAGGATTCACGTAGAAGACATGAAGGTAAAGAACTGTTCAGCTCTCACCTGCAGGAAGCCGATGTGATCCTGACTGATGGCCTGGACCTCCAGCGTGGCCCTCGCATCCTTCAGCTGGCTAAGCTCCGCCTCCAGGCGGCTCACTAGACCCTCCCCCTTTGACATCACAGCCTCCAGTTGGTTCTCGATCCCGCCCACCACCTGAGACCGGATCCTGTCCAGTGAGCTGGACACCTCGTCCAGGAGGTGTTCCACCTCGCCTCGCTCGCCGTCCGCGTAGTTCTGAGGATAAATCACAACATCAACGATTATTAAATTTAAAGTGAAATATTTTGGGATGTCTGTAAATGGATAAACAGTATAAACAGTTTAAAGTTATGTAAGAATGCTTTAACTAGCTGGTTAAATATAGAAATGGTTTAAAAGTCCAGTGTGTAACTGTAATTAAATATAATATTTAACTACAGTTGGCTAAAAGTAACAAACGAGTAATAAAATATCTAATAAATGAACAAGATGTCTGACTTTGACTCCGTCCAGTCTCTTCTTCAGCGAAGTCACATGAATCTCTTTCTCTTTGATCCGGTTCAGGATCTCCTGCTCCGTCCTCGCTACCTGTTTCTGCAGGTGAACACAGGTGAGTCGGTTTTATTGGTAAATTAATCAGTAAACTATAATAAGTAATAATAAGACCGTATGTTGATCCTCTCTACCTGTTTGTAGAGTCTCTCCGTTTGAACGGAGACGGTTTTGTGTGTTCGATGTTCCTCCAGGACACAAATGGCACAAATACAGTGCTGACATGTCCGACAGTACACCTGGACAACACATCAGTTAGGATTTGGTCTCTTTTAGAATCAATAACTTCAGTTTCTTCCTCCTTTACTTTGTAATAGTTGTTACACATTTACTTTGTGATGTTGTATAATGTAGTGGAAGCATGTACAGTTAGAAAAGTAGTGGACCGAGTACTGAACCCTGTGGGACACCACGTGCTATGTATTGTTTGAAACATACTCAGAAATAATTTAAATAAACATTTAGTTGAAATTAATGCTGAATTACTTATTAGCACTTCCTGTTTGCAGAGTACGCACTGACGTACAAACAGCGGTGGATTATTCTAAGGAAAGTCTGGAGACATTAGTTTGTGGGTTTTGTTTTGAAATATGAAATCAAAAATCAATATTGATCGAACAGTGCAAACATAAAATAAGTCTGTAGTTCCCCTCACCTCCAGCAGGCGGTGGTGTAGTGAGCATGTGCGGCCCCTGAGGGCCTCCTGGGGGTCCATCAGTGGGTGTTTGGCATAGAAAGGTGAGGTCTTATGTGGCTGCACATGCTCCGTGCAGTATGCGGCGGTGCAGGTGAGACAGGAGCTGATAGCGGGCTGTTTAACACCTGTACAGACGTCACACCACACCACCTCCTCACCGCACGCAGCCAGGAACGGGTTGGTGCTGCCGGCGTTGGGCGTCATGGCGCCCGCCAGCGTCGACGTCCCGTTCCTGACCGGCATCGGTAACCCTGCAGCTCCGTAACGAGCCAGTTTGTATTTGTCTGCGATGAGAGCGAAGACTTTGTTGACGCTGAGCTGAGGACGTTCATCGAACTCACGTTTACAGAGAGGACACGTACAGACGGGACTGGACGCCCAGTAACCGCCAATACACGCCTGCAAAGAAACAGCAGAAGAGGAAGGAGGGTCAGACATTAATGGTTCTTCTGTAATAAAGAAATATATTGATC